ATCAGCCTCTATTTTTTAGGCATCTTGTGATTTATTATTTTTTCTCCAGCCATGCTTTCATCTCAGAAGGCTAATGATACATTAGCAAAACCCACGTGACTTCTTTTTTAATATATTTTTGAAACCTGATTGTGGAGTATGAACAACTACCACACAATAAGAAAAAAATGCCATGAAGTATTAGACAGTAAAATGGTACCTTTACCTGCAATTAAGGTATGCCATTTTTCCCCAAACAATATGCCTAGAACAATCTGTAGCTTGGAGGATTTGTGTTCTTTTTCATTTGGAGTGTGTTAAAACCCCAGGGGGGGAGAAGAATTTATGATCAAATATAAGGAAATTCAACATTGGCTTTATGCATCCAAAATTCCAACACTGCTGGGTGTGTTTGTATGTTTCTTTTATATTTAATAAAAAAGTGAGCAGAAACTCTTGATGATGTTAAGGAGGGAGCAAACTCTGAAATGCCCAGTGACGGCTTTCAAGGTTGCAACAAGATTAAGTTATAACTAGAAACTGACGCAGTTTTGACAGCCAAAGCATTAATTCATATTGTCCCGCTTTAAGGAAAGAGCTGTTTCCATGGACATATGCAGCCAAACCGATTTGGTCCTTTGCACAACTTTTGGTGTGATTGACTCAGGAAAAGATTGCTGCAATTTTTTCCCCTAATCTGACAAGTTGTTTGTTTTTCCTGAAGGAGATATTGAAAATCGATTTTATGATTTGCTTATTCCACTCCTGTCAGGCATTAGAGGTAGGCAGGCTGAAAATGTTTAACAGTGAAACCCAAACTCCACACTGCAGAAGAATCTTTGTTAGGACAATCAAAGGAATGTGGAAGGTTGCAAGGTCTTCAGAATTCTTCAGAACTGTTGGATAAAGAAAACGAAAGGCTGGGCAAGAGGAACAATTGCTGGTTGGTGCTGAAGCCCGAACTTTGGCCTCACCCGGCACTGGTGCTCAGGGCCCAATCCAGTGCCTTTTTAAGCAGAAACCCTCCCACAACCCAGCATCCTCCCAAGTCAACATGACTGGCTGGGGAATGCTGGGAATTTTAGGAATTTATTCTGTCCAGATATACATGAGATTATTTTGGGGGTCTTCAAGTGCAACATAGAAGGAGGCTGAGTCATTGAGATGCAATGTGAGAGGGTCTAGAAAGTTCTGAGATACCTCCTGCTTGCAACTAGGCCTTGTTGCTGTTGCTAGTTGTGAAGTCATGCCCGACCCATCGCAATCCCGTGGGCAACATTCCTCCAGGCCTTCCTGTCCTGCACCATCCCCCAGAGTCCACCCAAGCCCACACTGACCACCCTAGTGACCCCATCCAGCCACCTCGTCCTCTGCTGCCCCCTTCTTCTTTTGCCATCTATTGTTCCCAGCACCAGGGCCTTCTCCAGGGAGTCCTTCCTTCTCATTAGGTGGCCAAAGTATTTGAGTTTCATCTTCAGGATCTGGCCTTCTAAAGAGCAGTCAGGGTTGATCTCCTCCAGGACTGACCGGTTTGATCGCCTTGTGGTCCAAGGGACTCGCAGGAGTCTCCTCCAGCACCACAATTCAAAGGCCTCAATCCTTCGGCACTCAGCCTTCCTTATGGTCCAGCTTACAGAGCCATACATTGCAACTGGGACAACCATAGCCTTGACTATACGCGCTTTTGTTGGCAGGGTGATGTCTCTGCTTTTTAGTATGCTGTCTAGATTAGACCAGGACTACCCACAGGCCTTGGGGGATCAAAGTTGGGATCAGCCTTGGTGGATCCCTAGTTTTGAAAAACTAGACCCAGTTGTTACCCAAGCTGGTTTCCACTCTTCAGCAAAACACAGGAGCCCTCCCAAGAACACGCAAGGAATAAGAATCTGGCACTGGGTCCATCTAGTCTCAGACTGTCAACACAGATGAGCAGCAGTTCTGCTGGCAAGATTCTTCCCGGGCTGGTGGCCTGTGGCATGCGAAGTGTAGCATTTACGCACGGTAATAATCCAGTGAGAGCAAAATCATGCACGCTGGTTGTGTCGCCAACATCCCCACATGCACCAGGCCCTGCCTCTTCATTCCTTCGCCTCACCACATGGAGGAGATGAGATCAGTGCTGTGATGAGATCAGAACTAGAGCTCTTCATGCCTTTACTGGACTGGGAATGGATGCCACTGGGGATGCTTATAAACAGGGTCCTTTGTCACAAGAAGAATTCTGCTTTCATCCAACCGCATGTGGGCAGAGCCATGTTTGAAACATGGTGCTGAAGGAGAGCTTTGTGCACCAAAGCCGGGCCAACAGAAAGACAAACAAGGGCGTCCTGGAGCAAATCAAGGCAGGGCTTTCCCTGAACGTGAAAAGGATAAAACTGTGGCTGTCCTACTGCAGAGACCTCATGAGAAGGGGAGGCTCCCTGGAGGAGACAATCATGTTGGGGAAGGTCAAAGGCAGAAGATGAAAGGGAAGCCCAAATAGAAGACGCATTAAAGGAAGCCACAGCCTGAACGCATGCTGAATGGACCGGATGCTCTGGAGGTCTTTCATTCATGTGGTTGCCATAAGTCAGAAATGACTTGACGGCACATCACAACAACGACAACAACGAACCCCAGCTCATTTTTTGCTGCCTGGATCAGCAACCTTGTTTGCTCTTCCCATCACTAGCTGTTCTTGTACCAACCTCATGGCCCTATTGTGTGTGTGTGTGTGTGTGTGTGTGTGTGTGTGTGTTGAGGATTTTGTTTGGTTCATTTTTATTGCCTTGTACATATTGTGTGTGTTTGTCTTGTACATATTGTGTGTGTTTGTGTGTGTGTTGAGGATTTTGTTTGGTTCATTTTTATTGTCTTGTACATCACTCCAGGATTTGTTTTGAATGAGAAGCACTATATAAATATTGCTAATTTTAAAAAACTAACTAACCAACCAGTTTTTCCTAATACCTGGGAAATACCTGAGAGGAGATTTGCCCTAGAACAAAGTCTCTACTTCAGCTGTTATAATATACTATTCTAATATGGGATTTTAGGGAAAGTTGGAGGCTACCAAAATCCATAACAGGGCAATACCCTTTGGAGACCAAGACAAACGTGTGAGAGCATATTGCCCTGAGGAAATGTTGGAGAGCTTTAGACTTTGAGTCATGAAGAGGTACTGAAAATATGTTGCCTTTTTTTGGTAGAATAATGATGCCTGTGACAAGGATTTCCAAAGGAATCAGTTATTAAGGATTAAAGGGGAAAGGAATTTAAGCAGTTTTATTTAGAGCATTAGATGACAGCTGGTATTTATAAGGTTAATGAAAGCTTCCAGAACAAATGTGTGAATGCCAATATGGTAAAGGCAGGAAGGGAAGAAAGAAAGATGGGTGCAGTTACACTAAAGTAAAAGGATTTCAGGAAGGGGGGGGCGTTCTTGAAGAGCTGTGCATGAAGAAGCTGGAGAAGGGTCTGGGTGCAAGAAGACTGAAACCGCAACAGAGAAGGGAGAAATCCAGGTGTGAGAAGGAGAAAGAGGGAGGGGTGGGGGAGAGGAAAGACTCCAAAGCAGTTTGGTATGGATTTCCAAGCGTAAGATGCACATCTTACACATATCTGGGTGTTTAAGCTCTGGCGATTAATTTCAAGGCAACAAAACCTGAGAAAAGAGAGGAAAAAGCACTCCTGTCAAACATGAGGGTGGGATGCAAGGGAAAAGGCTTTTCAACAGGCTGATGGAGAAAAAGACTTGATACCCATGTGGCTTGGAGGGAAATGTTGCAGCCTCAGTGGTTAGAAAGGCCAAGGCTCACGGGATTGCTGAGTCCTAGTGAGGGAGGCCGTGAAGCCCCCTTTTTATCCTGAATTCTCTGACTGAAAGACCGGCAACAGGGATGCTGACGGGGGGGGGCGGGGGGAGACTCGGGTGGAACGAAGGATCCCGGCATACAGTTCGTCAGAGAGTGCCGGTCCCAGTGAGTGCGGGATGCCTCCGGGCCTCAGAGGCGACACGGCGCAGCGACCGGTTCTGGGAAACGGACGGGCGCTCCGCCCTCGTGCCGCCTTTGTGCTCCTCCCAGGAATATTCGGTCGACCGCTGTGTGGAGCAAGGTCTGTGCTAAGCAGGGCTCTGGTCAGACCTTACGGAGTCTATGGCATCTGCTGCAGGCCGATGGGTGGATTAGCTGGTGGTCCAGCTGTTAAGGACCTAAAAGGTACACCTGCAGAAAGACTGGCTCAGGATCCCTCCCTCCTGAGCCTGGTGGGGACTTTTGCACGGATGCTGGAAGCAAGCTAAATAAATTGCTGGAGGGCCTCTGAGTCAGGTCTCAACCTCGAAGTTACAGTGAGGAGAAAGCAGGACCTAGAAGGATTACGCCAGACTGAGGGTCCCCACTCAGCCATGAAGCCGTGGGGTGACTTTGGGCCAGGCTCCGGTTTTAGCCTATCCTACCGCACAGGGCTGTTGTTGTCCAGGTTACAATGGAGCCATGTTATCCTCCTCGGCTGACTCGCAAGAGGAAAAGGGTCGGATAGAAATGCAGGGTGTTCATGTCGGTGACGGTGATGTAAGCAAAGGGCACAACAAAGAAAACTTCAGCCGGCTGTGAAGTGAGGCTGTTCATGTCCACCCGCTTCTGCACTGGCTGGGAGTGGTGGGAGTTGTAGTCCTATGCATATGTAAGGCACCAACTTAGGGACGATGGATATCCACAGAGCTGAAGATGGCCTGCAGTTTTGGAAATGGTTGGGCATCTCCCTCTGCCTTTTTGGGACTGGAATGGAAGTCTTCCCTGCCAGGCTTTTCTCCAAAATGGTGCTGGGGTGTCTTGACAGCCAACAATTCAGGCGTCCTTTGGGCAGCCAGAAATCCCCAACTCTGGGAATACGAGGGAGATAAATAAATAGAGTAAGGATGATTTCTGTCCACAGGAGTGTGTGCAGGGGAGTGGGCAACTCTGCACTCGACCTCCTGCAAGAAGAAGGCCCACTTCCCAAGGGGAGCTTATAACTAAGATACTCCTTGTTTGTTCCAGGTGCCGCGGCCCAGAAGCTGGAGGTGCTGCAGTCCCAGGGACCCGAGTCAGTGCCCGCAGGACAGACCCTCACGCTGCCTTGCACGCTCAGGGGGGATGCCGTGCCCGGAGGTGTGCGGTGGCACAAGGGCTCAGACCGGCAACAGCCCCCGATATATAGCCAGAAAGAGCCCTTTCCCCCCCGAGTGATCAGGGTCATTCCTGAATCAAACACGGACTTCACCATCCAGATCACAGACATCCGACCTGAGGACGCAGGGACCTATTTCTGTGTGAAGTACAGATTAAGAGTCACAGGGGAATCGGAGGAGGCGTCTGGAGCAGGCACGGAGGTGTTGGTGATCGGTGAGTTGCGCCCAGACTTATTTCAAAAACCTGGAAGCAAAAGATGGCGCAGTGCCTGCGCAGCAATAAAACCCCAGAAATTTTCTCTGGGGTTTTTTGGAGGGTGGGGAGGGGGTTGCATTGACAGAAGACTGTTTTCAGGACTTCAGATTTAAATGTGGGCATGGCGGGGGGGCAGAGGTTCTCCGTGCCTTTTCTGCTCCCCTCGCTCAGGTCCGAGCTCCCCTTTTCTGCAGCAGAGCCCAAAGGCAGTGGCTACTTCCTTGAAAGTCTAGACTTCATTGCAAGCGTTTGTGGAATATGTTTGGGTAGCCCTTTTGTAAACTCGGGTGGGGAACCGCCTCGATTCCGGATGCCTTTTCCCTGGTGGGGAAAATCAGCGGACACTGTGCCTGGTTTCTCATTTGTTGGAGAGGGAGAGGATTTGAACGGTCGGAAGCGACCCAGGAAGCTTCAGTGACCGAGTAGAAGAGAAATGAACGCAGCAAACGAAAAATGTGAAAACTGCTTTGCAGACGTGTGCAGACGCACTTGCGTGAGCAAAGCTGAATGAGAATCTGGCTTTAAAAAAATCAATTTTGTCAATGAGCAGAGGATGGAGAAGGTGCTTGACAATCCATGAAGCGAATTAAAGAAGTCTGATGATCCACGAGACAAAGCAGGTTTAGCAGGACCTACAGATCCCCAGTGGGGAGCAGGTGTAGAACCCCTTTCCTGCCCGTTGTTTCCCTTCTCGCCGAGCTCGGTTCCCCCGGTGTGTATTTCCTTGACTGGAAAGAAATCAGAATCGCCAGGCTAGCTCTCTTGAGATGTCCTGGCCAAAGGCCTCAAATCCAGGACCTGATCCACGCATGGGGCAGCCACAGCAGCCCCCCCGCCCCCCCCCCCAGTACTGGAGCAACAAGGGTGGTGGCGGAAGGACTGCTGGCGTGTTTCTCCCTGCCCGCCGTGAGAGGCGGGGCTGGAAGGCCAGCACCCCTGGGGGCACCGGGGCAGCGGGGGCTGCCCAGCACGGCCCCGTCCATGCGCTCGCAGGTCCCCTTCCGGCATGTGCCGTGACCCCAGCAGCCCCGCCCTTTCTCTCTGCGCTCTGCGCCTGCAGAGGGGTTCTGTGGGCCGTGGCGCACCTGTTGATGTGTGGTCGGTGTGTGTGTGTGTGTGTGTCCCCCTCGCAGCTACGCCATCCCAGCCCGTCATCACTGCCCCCTCCGGCCGAGTGGCGCCAGGAAGCACCGTCGCCTTCAACTGCTCCACAGGCGGATTTTATCCCCGCGACATCACAGTCACCTGGTTCAAGGGCAGCTCCGAAATGAAAGCCTCGGACACCGTCGTTCTGCCTCGAGGAGAGAACATCACCTACCAGGTCTGGAGCACTGTGAAAGTGCAGCTCTCCAGAGAGGACCTGATGACCCAGCTGCTGTGCAGGATCACACACAAGACCGTTGTTGGCACCTTGGAGCAAAGTTTTCGGCTTGCCGATGTCCTCCGAGGTATGGGACAGGTGGGGCTCCAGGCGCCGGTTTGGGAGGAGCTGCAAGGAAGGGGACAGGTGCAGGTCCGGGATGCCAGGGCGAAGGAGCGGGCGCGATTCCCTCCCTCCATGCTACACTGCTTTTGCATTGCTTGAAGCCGTTTGGTTGGCTCCGGGGCCCATGGAATCCCTTCTACCCAACAGGGCAGTCCTTCGGTTTTTAAGCAGTGCCATAGCGGTAAATCTTGGGGTGCTAAAGCTCACCCCAACAGATCCCCTCGAGAATCAGCAGCCATCCTTGCCACTGTAATTTACTTATCTTTCTTGCCAAAATATGATTATATATATCTCAGTATGTTGCAATAGGTTATAATTTAATATTTAAAGTAGCTAACACCCTAATTAAAAACTCCATCATTAAACAAAAATATTCCCAAAATGAAAAACCCAGTAATAAAAGACCACAATTATGTTTACAGGGCCGGACACCAGTCCTCGGCCTAGTTATCAACCCAGTTCCATTGAATTCGATGGTGGCTACTCCTGACAGCATGGGTTCAACTTATACAAAACAGAAAGCTTTCACAAAGGTCTTCTGTCAGCTTTAGCTTTTAATTTTTAAAATGTGTTACTATTTCAAGCTGCTAGCATGAAGTAGAATCTACACCAAGGAAAGGAGAGGGGAATCCAGCTGGTGCTGAATCATTTTCCTCATTCTCTAATTTCCAGTTTGCTTATCTTTCGAAAACAATGCCTCCTTTTTGCTTAATTCACCTGGGCACAGGAAACCCAGCAACCCCCCCCCCCCGGCAGTTTAGCGGTTCCTTCTCTGAAAGGGGTTCCCGGGTTGTATCCACAAGTAACAAAAGACACAGTTGTTCCAGGCAAGCTTTGCATAACACAGTGCCCAACTAGCTTCAGTCCGTTCCCTAGCTAAGAGGCCCATGAAAGAGCGTCGTTCTGAACAGTGCTTTTTTTGGGAAAAAGAAAATAGGTGCCGGAACTCACGTCGCCGCCAGCAGTAAGCACTCAGCGCGCAACCACACACACCAATCCCAAGCCGAGGAGCGTCCCAAGTTGGGCGGCGCGGACACACAAGCCGCTCGCAGGCACTATGTTAATGGTGTTTGCTGCTGACCTGCTACGCCAACAGGCGATTCAAAATCACTTCGTAAAATCCACTGGAAAAAACGGTGCTGGAACAGCGTTCCGGTGCATTCTATGACAAAAAAACGCCCTGGTTCTGACACGGGCCGTATCCAGCCCGGCCTGCCCTCCTCAGCTAAGCTGGCGACCACCTCGCGCCTGCCAAGTCTGTCTACCCATGAGGTCTTCCCGGCTGCGAGTCTTTCTGAGCTGCACCTGATCCCGTGCTGCCCGTCTCCTCCATCTGATGCTGAGCTCTCAGCGTTCCCACCCCTTTCCTCTTTGGTAGGAGCCCGATTCCCCACAGGAGCAGAGCAGAATTTCAGGGAAAAGCCCTCCCGGGGGTGTGCAAGGGCCCCCATCAGAGTTGGGGCTACATGCGCGTGCACTGGCGTAGAGAACAACCTAATACTGGCCGTCTTTGGCATGGCGTGGCCACGTCCAGCCCCCTCCCTTGCCAAACCAAGAGCACGGCCCGTTGCTACCCGGCAGGAGCCCTAGAGATTGCCAACAACAACAACAGCCCCGTAGGTGAGAGCACAGATTTTGAGCTGATAAGCTGAGGGTGTTGGCTTGAGCGAGATCTAGCATTTTCCAAAAACTGCAAGGCCAAACCAAGGGGAAGTGCAGCCCCAGCCAAGCGAGATTTCCCCTCACAAATGCTTGGTTGTCTTGGCCTCTCTTTGTCCAGTCCCGCCCAAGGTGCAGGTGGAAACGAGCCCGCCTTCTCCAGTCAAGTTGAACACCAACGTGACCATCACCTGCCACGCGCAGGGATTCTACCCAGACGAGACGAGCCTGAACCTCTTTGACGTTAACAACAAGACCGAAATGGGGAAGACTTGTCCCTCGACGCAGAACCAGGATGGGACGTTCTCCATCAAGAGTTCCCTGGAGTTGATGGCAACCGAAGAGCGGAATATGTCGGCATTTACTTGCCTGGTGGAGCATAATTCTCAGCCTCCCTTGAACGGAACGGTGACGCTGGTCATCAAAGTGCAGGCTGAAGAGAGTGGAAGTCCAAATACTCTTCCAGGTCAGTGTACAGTGGCACACCCATAACGGAAAGGGTTTGCCTGACCCAGGTTGATTTTCTTCCTCTTTTTGCCAACTTTCACCAAATATCTAAAGGTTAGATGGGTCTTGTGAATAGCTCCAACATGGGTCCGGGGACTGCAGGTGACCCAAACTATCAGACAGCTTTTCTCTTCAAAAAAAGGTGTCTCCTTCTCCTTTCCTATGTGCCTGCCTGGCCTCTAAGATCTGGGTTGGAGGTCCTTCTTCAGGAGCCCTCCTTGAAGGAAATCAGGAGAGTGGCTACCTGGAGAAGGGCCTTCTCCATGGTGGCACCCCAGCTGTGGAACATGCTCCCCAGAGAGGTGCACCTGGCACCAACACTTATTCTTTTTGATGCCAGGCCAAACCCTTTTTATTTTCCCATTATCTGAAGACGTAATCTTTGTTTTAGTTGGGCTTTTGTCAGATATTATGCTGTGCCGTTGTTATTGGACCGTCCTGAGACTTTATGTATAGGATGGAATACAAAAGTTTTCAATCAATCAATAGAGGTCTGCTGCCAATTTTGCCTGCAGAAGGTCATGCTGGGAAAGTCTCCTGTCTGCCGGTAAGTGTGCACCATGCCAACCTTGAGGACTGGTCTCTTGACTTGGCATAAAACAGCCTCCTGTATTCTGGTGTTGACTTTCCCCCTTCCACATAAAACCAGCAGCAATGTGCCCTGAACCGTCAGAGCTACCTTTTTGTCTGTTGCACCCAGAATGCAGACTTTTTTGGCCCCAGAGATCCAATGTGCCTCTTCTCTGTTTGCATTTTGCAGCTTTTTGTTAGCTGGATTTAGCAGAGTTCCAGCGTGCCATCTGTACAATCTCACTCTCTCCATTTATAAAATCACTTGGTAGTTCTTGTGTTTTGTCTCAAATTGTCTTGAGCATTTAAAGTTATGATACTGTCTTCCTTTTACGGTGTCTATCCACTCCGAGTGCTCCTTTGGGGATGAGAAAGCAGAATAGCAACTCTCAAATCAACGAATCGCATCTCTTTGCAGGTAGCTCCACAAACATTTACATCATCGTTGCCGTGGTCTGTGCGCTCCTCGTCCTGCTTGTGGTAGCTGTAATCTACTTCATCCAAGTACAGCACAAAAAGGGTAAACTGAATCTTCACTGTAGTTGTGTGTCTGTTGGCCCTTTTCGATCAGCCAGCCCTCCTGGACTATTTATTTATTATCTATTTATTATTAGGGGTCTTTCTAACCCATTCATTACTGTGCTTCTCTGGATGGCTTACAATAAATCACCCGATAAATACAGCATAATAAATGCGGCATAATAACCCACGACTGGGGATAAAAACATAATTAAAATATTTAAATTTAAAATACTGGGTACATGAAAATGAAGACCGCATGGCCTGGTGGGACCCGTGGTGGAGAATCTCTCCATCCATCTCCACAATTTGCAGTTTCAGAGACTCCAGAATGACCTGCCCGAAGCAAAGGGCTGGATTCAGACAGGACCAAAATGCCTACTCGGGGCGATGCAAGAAGCATCCCAGATGGAGCTGGACAGCCACCGGGGAGGGATGGTTCTGCACTGTGCAAGGGCTGGACCTGATGGGCCTCTTTATCTGCAGCAGAGCATTTCGTGGCAAACCCTGGGCCTGTGATGGAACAGCGATTGCTCAATAGCCAGGAAAAGGTTTCCAACTAATGCGTGTCTTGTTCTTTCTTCTCTGTAGGTAAAGACCCCACATCTGTAAGGTAAGCCTGAGCAACTGGCTTGATCAGAGAGGGCACTGGCTGACTAGAGAGGGAGCTACAAATAATTCTGGGGTGGGGAACCGCTTGCAGCCTAAGGACCATCTTCCATTTCTGAAGGTCTCGGGGACCCTGTTCCAGTGGTGGGTTGGGGTTAAGGTGAACCGAGTGATCGGCAGCCAGGTGAGTACAGCCAGAAAAAGTGGGTGTGACCATCTTGGAAAGTCAGATTTGGATCCCAGGAGGGGCAGACTTGACCCACAGACCTGAGGAAAGTCCCATCATCCCCAGCCAGCATGGCTTTTGGAGTCGTTGGGTAAAGCAGGACCGTGAGAATCAGTCATCTTAAGCACCTCGCTCGTTCACTGACAGACCCAAGTGACGGGTAATGGTCCGTTTAGTAGTGGCACCAGCTGGAAGGTGCTATGTGGAGAGCTGACATTTTAAGAGAGCTTTATATGGGGCACTTCCTTCTTGTGACGTGTGGGATACACAAGAAATGTTTAACCTTGATGGTTTGTGAATTGCTGTCTGGATTTCTTTAGCCACTGCTGCTTTTTCGCTCCTCTGAGTGATCTTTGTGTTACACGTTGGGAGTTCGAGTTTTCTATGATCATATTAGTCTTCAGTGGTGTTTGCTGCCCTAATTTTTCTTAGAAACATAGAAAATAAGTGTTTAATTCCAAGCCAAGCTGGAAAATCAATGTTTCATTCCAGACTCAATATGCTTTGGTCCACTTTTACTTCCATGCCTTCTTCAGGGGCTACAAAAGCAAGCAATATATTATATCAAGTTTTTTACACAAAACAACCAGAAAACAGAAGATATAAATAAGCACAGATTGCATTAAATGTGTATTTATTTGCCCTGATTAAGGCTGCCTGCAGAGAAGTTTGGTAGCAACACTGCCTTCTAGAAGAATTCCTCCACCTTTGGCATTTCCACATCTCATGTGTCACAACTTGGAATTGAAATGGATTTATTTGGTACTGTTACCACGCCATGTGCAGGAGATGCTCAGCACTGCGAAGGAGCAAAATGTTTTTATTGTGGCGCAAAAGCTAAGTAAATGAAAACAAACTGGCTTCTGTCGGTTGCAGAAATATCCCCCACCCCCGGAGTCGAAACTTGGCAGGATCATCTTTGGCATGGTCCACAGCGGTGAATCTTCGTGGTGGAGTCCCTGTCAGCTTTCAGGTCTTGCCAGATTCTCAACTAGGCTGAGAACTGAACTTGGACTGGCCCCACCTGAGGCATTCAGGTTCTTGGTGTCAGGAGGTGAACGACAGTCCAGATTCTGGCCCAGTCCGGGGTCCCTTGCAGACTGAGATGGGTTTTTCTCTAAAATCTTCCTGAATTTTCTCCATCCATCCTGCCAGCCACAGTCGGTGCTTCTGCACAACTTTATCCTGGAGTTGTTTCAATGGCTCCTTGGTTTGCTTGATGCTGTTTGTTTAGAGATGCATTCCAACAAACGCTGGAGGTTTCCAGAAATATTTATTCTGAGTTGGTGTGACACTGGAACAGGTGGACTCCATCCATCCGTGGAGCATCTTTCAGGGTGTCCTTGCAAAGCAGGCAAATACTTATGTAACCCACAATTGCCAGCTTGCTTTGGTGAACTTTGGGCCACAATAAAACATACGTTGCATCTCCACAGTGCTGAGAACTGCAGGTACTCCATTCCACTTAAATCCATTTCCATTCCAGGTGGTAGCACGACAAAATGGAAATGTCTGGAGGTGAGAATAAAACCTTCTGCCAGGCGTTGAATAGGCTCAACACCAGTCGCTTGCAAGTGGCTGCTGAAGGCTGAGCTTAAGCTTCCATCCTCAGGGAATGATTTGGTCCTCTTGGACACAAAGGAGGAAGAGGAGGGAAAGACTGGGTCTAAACAGCACAACAGCCCATGATGCAGTGCAAACCCAGACCGATGCCCAGCAGGCGGCTTGTGTGTGGTCCCTGAGCCGCCCCAGTGGCCTGTGGCTTTGCTGTTGGGGTTTCTGGACTGATCCTGGCATGCCGTCTGGACCCCAGCGGCTGCCATTGTGGGTTGCTGGAAACTGGTCCTGGGGCACTCAGCCAAGCAGCAAAAAATCCTTGTTGTTGCTGCTGAATCACCCAGACCACCACTGGTGCCTCTGACCCTCCAACGCTCAAGTGACAGCGCTGGCTTGGTCCCCATGTCACACGTACAAGCCCTTTTGAGCTTGCTGTGCCGTTCCCCCTCCTCCATTACCTCCCCCCTCCTTTTTTTTCAGAGATCACTTCTCATTACCCTCAATTTGATAGCTGGCTTGGCACGCGCACACACACCGCAAAAACCCACGTGTGCAAATGTGTGCAAACGATTTCATCTGTCGTCATTTTTCCTTGTTGCACTTGCTCCGGTTTGTCCTTGCAGGAGTTTGCAGTGTCCTGCCTGCCTGGGCAACGTCCTGGAGGATAACAGCCGACCAGGTGCAGCAGGCAGTCAAAGCGACTGCCGAGAGCTTGATTTTTGAGCTTGCTTTGTCTTGACAGCTGTCAAGAGACACCAACCCCACAAGTGGGAAGGGGGTGACCCATGCATCCACCTCTTCTTGGGGAGATGGTCAGGAGGGCTTTTCTGGACCTGGCTCTTGTCCAGTTTTTCTCACTTTTTAGCCAAGGTGTTTGGGAAAGTCAGAAAATGTGAGCCACCCCCTTTATGAGAGCATAAAGTTTGACAGCAAGCTGTCAAAACTTCTTTTGAAAAGGAATTTTTTAAAAATAAGGTTCCCCATTCACAGGGGTAAAAAACATATTTTGAGGTTGTGACAAACCAATGACAAAATGAGGAAAAGTGGGAAGTGACGGCACACTCAGAAGTGCTCACAATCATGGCAGGAGGGCAAACAGTTCAGGACCTGCCAGGGGACCCCCCTGGGGCACTCATGGGAGGACCATGGGGGAGGAAGCCAAGATCTCAGGATCCCGCTGCCCAGGGACCAGATGCTGGTGGTTTGTTCTGCTTTCTGCTCTGCAGACGGCCCAGCAGCCTCTGGAGCCAAATTTTCTTGGAAACGGATGCTCTGGGAAACCCTCTGAGTCACGAGGGTGAGCGGGTGTGATCGCATGTTCCCCTCGAGAAGCCAAGAGCCCTTGGCACGGCCTCGCAGCCAGGCAGACTTGGGTTCTGGAATATTTCTCGAAAAGGCATGTGGTGTTAGGTTTCCATGTATTCTCCAGTGATTTTGCTTTCTGTGTTTCTTTTTCCCCCCTCTTCTTTAGGCTACATGAATCCGAAAAGGCTTCTGGGGGAATGAATCAGGTATGTTCTGCTCAATTTGGGGGGATCCTGAGAAGAGATAGAGGTTGAAGACCTCGTTTTGCCTCTCAGGAATAGTGAGCATTGTAAATCTGCCTTCATTCTGGATGAACAAGGTTTTATGCACAGGGACCCTGTCAGCTGATTCCCAATTATCTTGGGCCCCATCCATCAGTTAAGAGAAAACTCCAGACCGGCCCTCTACCTTGGCGTGCTGGCGCTGCTGACCAAGGGATCACTGTGCATGAAATATATTTAAAAGCTGCCGACCATTCGCCCTTCCCACCCAGCACATACTTTGCCTGGCAGCAGTTCTCCACGAGTGCGTGCAGAGTTCTTTCCCAGCTCTGCTCCCTGAGGTCTTTGCATCAATGCTGTGGAATGAAGGGCACAATTCTAGGTATGATTAGACAAGGAAAAAGTCCTACAACTTTTTTGTAGGACTTGTTTCAGTTTTAGCTACATAGGACTGTACTCTAACCATCTCTGCTCCAGAATACACGGAGCCTGGGGGACATGACCCCTTTCAAACCACTTCATCTTGTGGCTTCCAAATGTTGTACTGCCAAACCCCAAATAAATTAGACACTCTCTAATGGAGAGGATGCTTCCTTGAATCGCTCGGAACATACATTACTTTAAAGCCATATCTAGCAGAGACGTGTTTTCTTATTTCTCGTCTCTTTTCATTTATTGTCTTCTGTTTTTCATTTTTACTCTGAACTAAGCACATCAGGCCCAACACAATTCTCAAAAGCCAGAAATGTTAACCTGAACCCTGCCGTGCTAATTCCCAACTCAAACGGCTATTTTTACGTACTCTAGAGTTTAAAAAGAAAAGAAAAAAAAGGGGGAATATAGGTTTAAATCGTTTTCTCTGATTTAAAGTAATGTGTGTTTGGGTTGGGTGTGTTCTATGGTGAACACTTTCCCACCCAAGTGCCCTTCAGGCACCTGGGACTACCAGTCCCATTATCCATGGCCTTTAGCTATGCCGGTGAATGCAGACAGATCCAAAACAGAAGGCAGGCTGGTGAAAGATGGACTGATTGTCTGCTTCTGCCTAAGACAGCTTCAGAGTGTTCCTAGGAATCCTTCCTGACCCCAAATAGGCATTTGGTGATTACTCCCAAGGCACGTCTGCAGCAGTAACGGGTCAGGAACAGTAAGACTTTAATAGTTTTTGTGGGTCAGGTTTCTCCAACCTGATGCCCTCCAGAGGTGTCGGATTACAGCTCCCATCGTGCCCCAGCCAGCTAAGTTGGACTCCTGAGCTACAGTGTTGAAGGAATTGTAGCCTTCCACTCCTGCAGGATGCCAGCTTTGTGTGCAAGAGCTCCATACTTCCCCATCCGGAACAATAAGGACTAGCCACATGCGTTTGTTTATGATCAAGTCTTCTTTTGATTGTGACAAAGCCTGAAAGGCGTATAAAAGAAAGGTTGCCCTTTCTGCTGGGACGGCTGGCTGCGAGATTTTTGTTTCTTCCCTCGGCAAATAATGCCACAAAATATTGCTTGCTGATGAAAAGGCCCAGCTGCGCCACCGTCCCGGCGAGATTTATTTTTAGAGGTTTTCTTTTGTGCGGCACAATTGTGCGATTTCGCTGAGCAAACTCGGCTCCCTCCACCCTGCGCCAGGCTGTCTTTCTTGCCGTCCTTGGAGCCACTTGCATCGAAGCGCAGCTGGTGCCAAAACCGGGAAGACGTCACTCCCCCGGGACAATAGTCCCGTGATGCGGGTCTTGGTGTGCCAAGAACCCTCTGTGACAATCCCAGCACCACTGCCGTGTGTGTGTGTGGAACAACACCAGATTCACACCAGCAGGCATTTGCCTTTGCCTTTGGGCTCCGATTTTGCAAGCAGTGGCTCGCCGGGCCCAGCTGCTTCCGTGCCGTGCCGTTTCCATCCACAGACATGGAGCAAAGCATTTGCTCCCGTCCTGGGGAAGAAGACTTTGAACCTGTAAAGGGGGGGCTTGTCTGGGGAAGGCCAGACTTGAGCCAAGTCCTGTTGGCACTTTGATTTCATCATTATCCTAAAATCTTTCTTTAATCGGTTATGAAGACGTCCATTTACTCCGCCGTTCCGTCAGTCCTGTGTGTTTCAAAGTGTGATTTGCAATATGCAAATTAAAACCGATCACCATACTGAAAACTGAAAAGGAAAGACTGTAGGGTGACGGGGACAGTAGGGAAATCCTCATACCTGTCCCGTTCGAGCAAAATAACGCACCCCATATGCCTGCTGCTTCATGCCTTTGGACAGAGCTGTGTGCTGAGGAGCTAAAAGGTAAATTTAACCATAGGGGACAGAGCAGAGAAACAACAGAGAGAGCGGAAGGACTGTGCTGCACATGAAAAGCCTCATGCAAAGGCACCCCAGCTCCATTGTTCAGCACAAGTAGCACCTTTCATGGCCACGTGTGGCGCCCCCCTTTCATGTGGCTCCCCCTCTTCAGTTTGGGACTTCCTGGTCCACCTCCCACCTGCCACATCCTTGCCCAGAAGCTTCCTGGCCAGAAGGACGTGCGTGTTGCTCACACGGGGCTGATCCTCTCAGCCTCAAAGCACGGCCTCTGGGAAGCTGGGCGTTGCTGCACTGTGGACTTCCTGGAGGACCTCCTGGCTTGAGCCACTGTGGGGGAAACGGTGCTGGGCTAGACTAGATCGGCCGTCCTTGAATTGGACCTTCTAAATATGTTGGACTGCGGCTGGTTCCCATCCTGAACGGGAATGCTGGGAAGCATGGTGTGTCAGATCTAGAATTGTTGATATGCATTTTAATTTGGGTTTAGATTTTGCAAGATAACCTTTTAATGATGTGTTTACTGGTGTTTGCATTTTGTATAGTATTATTATGTGTTGTACGCTGCCCAGAGAACTTCAGCTATCAGGCAGTATAGAAAATGGATGGAAGGAAGGAAGGAAGGAAGGAAGGAAGGAAGGAAGGAAGGAAGGAAGGCTGTCTGAGACGGACAAGTCATAGAATCCTAGAATAGTAGAGCTGGAAGGGGCCAGAACACCATCAGGTCCAAGCCCCTGCTATTGCAGGACACTAAATGACACCCATTCAGAAGACTGTCCAGATGCTTTTTTTAAATGTCTCCAGGAAGAGGGAGCCCACAAACTCCCCAGGTAATAGGCTCCATTGTCCTACTGCTCTGACAGTGAGGAGATTCTTCCTGGGGTCTAGTCTAGTCTGAATCTGATTTCTTTTAATTTAAATCCATTGTTCTGTGTCCTGCACTCTGGAACGGCCGAGAAGAGATCGCGTCCTTCCAGGGCCATCTTAACGCATGGGCCTGATGGGCACTTGCCCCTGGGCCCCATACTAATCTGTGTATGTTAACCCTTGGAAAATTGGAAAACTTCCAAAATTAACAGTAGTTGTAGTTGTCGTAGGGGCCCCAGCGCACTGCTTTGCCCGGTGCCCATCACGCTGTTCAGACAGCCCTGCGTCCTTCCTCTTGGTGTCAGCCTGGTGGCAATCCTTTTTGGGCCCGGCTTCTCATGAGCTCCATCTCCTTCTCCCCCCTTAGGACCCCGATCCCAACAACGTCACCTACGCAGACCTAAACTTCGACAAGTCCCCGCCAAAGAGCCCCCCGCAGGTGGCGGATCTCAGCCAGCAGTCCGAATATGCCAGCATCCAGACCGGCAAACCAGCCGCCAACGACGACAACGTCACCTATGCAGATTTGGACATGGTGCACCTGAGCAAAGGACCCAAGAGACCGGCTCCGCGGCCCGAGCAGGCCGGCTCGGAGTACGCCAGCGTCGAAGTGCAGAGCAAATGATTCCTGGCTCCCGGCTGGCCCTCCGGCAGGGCTGCCCAAGACCTCCTTGGCCTCGGCCTCGTCCTCACGCTAGGCCTCCGTGGAGTCACCCTGGGGCCGCCTGCCAGGCAGGGCTCCTGCAGCTTCTTCGAGTGGAACTTCAGGTGTGCGGCCAAGGTCGAGCAGGAAGCAAATCGGTGCTACTACACACACATTGCATCCTGATGTTTGGACCGGTTCATCGTGCCTCTTCCTCCCCCGTTAACCCAGTGGATGGGAGAGGCCCAGACCGACGAAGGCTTGGCACAGCTTTTCGCACTGGAGCAAGGACTTGCGAGTCATCGGCACACAAGACCGAGCGAGAGATGCATCAAGGGGGTCCGTCCTCTCTGGCACGTCTTCTCTCCTTCCTTCCGAGGTGACAGAGTCTTCTCCGCAGCTGTCTTCAAATGCCTCCTCCCATTTGATCACCCCAGGCAACTCTGCCAGGGGAAGGAAGCTCTGGGAAGCGATCTGCTCTTGAGGAGACTTGGAGATACGCAAGAGAAAGGAAGGCCCTCTTTCCCTGGGCGTGGGAAGCTGCTTTCGGCACCAAGATGTCTGTTTCACTTTGTATTGCTATAATCCACAGAAACGTCTCTCTCTCTCTCTCTCTCTCTCGCTCTCTCTCTCTCTCGCTCTCTCTCTCTCTCCCCTTGACAATATGTCTTGGGACAGTGCCTCTTTGAGATGCAGCAACTAGTTGTGGGTCCAAACTTCCCTCTTTCCATCTCACCTAGCCCTGAGGCCTTCCCCTGGCAAAGCCAAATCTGTAGAAAGCCTTTCGACATGTCCTCCTCCCTTTTCTTTTCCAATCTGCTTTCATTTTTCTTTCCCAAGTGTTATTAGGACAGGGAGGCCTTGGACTCGCGCTGCAGCCTCTGTGATAGGCTTGAGCCTTAGACAACTAGGGACCAAGCTAAGGAATCTTTTTGGTTCCTCTACCTTCCGGTACCCTCTTCATTTCCTTCCAGAACCCTTCTGAAATCTGGCTAAATGGATACATGTGTGCATCCATGTATGTGTGACACACACACACACAAATATAGACACATGCATGCACGCACACGCTTGACAAGTGGCTGTCTTTTCTCAGTCATCAAAAACAAGGCAACTTGTGGGATCGGAGGAGAACGTGCCTCCCAAGCCAGCTCTTCCCCGGTGAGCGCGTCTGCCCATCTCTGGACCCCCTAGCTGCCCCACAACTGCACCCAGGCCAGGGGGGCCCCTGACCTGCACGCTCCCTCAGCTCCACCAAGGACGTGGCTCTGCCTGGGAAGTTCACTGGGCTCACAAATGCGCAGTAACCCAAACCAACCAGCTGGCCCGGGATGGGACAGAGCTGGCCACAGGACTTGGGGGAGCGGCCACAGAGGGAGGGAGGAGGCAGCTCGGAGGGCACAGCAGGCCTGATGTCCCACCTGTGACCTGTGAGGGAGCAGCCCCTGTGCAAGCACCTCCACCCGGGGCCAGAACGGCGGACAGTCTTGCTGCACCTTGACCCCGCACCTTCTGGTCACCCAGCTCGTCCCCTCCCGCGATGTCCAGCCACGCTCTTCCATGCCGAGAGGATTGCGCTCGCCTTCCGGGACTTCCATCTTGGCCAGACCCACGGCATTTCTCCGCTTCTCCTTTGGCCTTGCCCATTTTCCACCCCGATGCGCAGGGAACGTGGGGAGACCACAGGAGAAAAGAATAGCACTTCTCTGCCCACAGGGGCTGGGGGGTCAGCCCCCCCAAGAGATGTTGTACCACCCTGTGTTGACTGTTCAGCATTATAACTGTTTACTCCTTTTAGAACTAAAAAAACAAAAAAATACCAGTATTTGTGTGTGTTCTTTGTAAGTGGGTGTAGTACTGTGTACTTAGCACTAGTGTGAAAAGCACAAAAACAGAGTAAGGGATGAAGTGCTGGGGAGAAAATTAACGCCAAACTGTCTTTTCCCAATGACTGAGGCATCATAACCAACCTTCTGTGTCTCCCGCCGCTGGTAACCAAAACTCCTCCTCTTGTTTTCTTGCGGCTCTATGTTCCTTTTCTTTGTTGTTATTATTATTATTATGCAGTTTTGTGACTAACGGAAATGTGGCAGGTACGAAAGGAAGCAGGAACGAGTGCTGTGGGAGAAGTGATGTCTTCCAAATCTTCTTCCACCAATTCTCCACCCACACCTTAGATCCATCTTTGACCCGAGGAGGTTTCCAGGTGCAGGATGATGAGAATGAAACTTCAGTGGGGTTTAGCTGGTAGAATCTTAAAGGATTTTGCATTCTCCTTGGAAGACAGATGATAAGTTCCACGTATCATTTCCATGTCTTCTGGCTGTTAACAGATGGCTTCCAGTTGGCCCACTGATGTCCATTGTGTAGCCTCTGGTCTATTATCCTCCCTGCACACTTTGAAGAATGCCATAACCATGAAAGCATGTTGGAGACACAGAAACAACTCCTCTTTGGGACTCTGAATAGTGCAGAGGAAACATTTTGGGCTCACTGACAATGCTTCATTCTCCTGCCGGACTGTCTTTATAATGTCATTTGGGAAGACATCTACCTTCCTAGTATGAGAAAGGGGAGACTTAAGTGTGTGAAATGTAGATGCCGTCCTGGAATTTCGCAAATTGTAGGCTTCTCATGGAAGCATCTTGTCCTCCTGATGTTCTGAGGAAATCTCCCTTCTGCCACTTCCTCTGGGCTGTTTCCATTTTTTTTTAAAGAGGTGAACTGAGAAATACAGTGTTTGGGTGGTCCTCAGAGCAAACCAGATGTCCCCATAAGCAAGCAGCTGCTGCCAAAAATGGCAACCCCATGCCTTCTTCCTTCTTCCTCTTCGATACTGTCTCACCCAACTTGGCCGTGGACATTCTGCAGTTCCTCACCCCAGATTCCACAGCACTGGCTGCTGAGAAAAACCAGATCTTCGCGACATGACTCCGTGTCATGAAGATCCAGTAGGGTGGTGTAAATTGGTGAGCTGCAGCAGCGAGGGGTTGGACCTGATGGTCTTCTTGGCCCCTTCCAACTCTACTATTCTATGAGTCTATGATTCCGTGTGTACGTTTGAAAGACGTTATGCAGGGGGAGAAGGAAGTCAGCCTGTGGACGCCATTCTGGGTACACGGTCTTTGGTCACCATGGCTGTGTCTTACCTTACCTGGGCCCTGAGACAAGACGGCAATGTAATACCAGCTGGTCAGTGCCCCTTCCTGTGCGCCCCATCCGTTCCCTTCTCTTCAGTGGCGTTAGATGGGGGTGAATGAAAGTCCACCGATACGGTTGCTTGGAATACTTTAGCTGGTCAGGGCCAGCCCCAGCCGGAGGCGTGGAAGCCACTCTGCGTAGCCTCGTCTTTAGCCCTGGTTTTTCAGGGAGGAATATGGGGCCAGGGAGGAGGGAAATCCCATGAAGCAGTTTGGATATATTTGTTGTGGAGAAAAAATAAAATAGGTGATTGTTCGTATGAATTGCACCTTAAGTTTTGTTTTTTTCATTTTGTTTTGTTTTTCGCTTGCAAGATATTTTTGTAATAAAAGGTTAAAAGTCTGCATCATCCGTGTGTCCATGTGAATGACAATGGCAAAGTTGACTTTGGACAAGTAAGCCTGCTAGTCAAAATATGAAATGTTGTCTCTCTCTCTGCAGAAGAGCAGAAAGCTAGACCCCATGAAAGGTTCAGTTTTGGCAGTCCCACCCAAATATTTGAAGGCAGCAATTTAAATATGAAAATAGCTTGTGCTGCAGAAATCTATGCACGCATGAACCAATAATTATCAAAAGATGCAATCTACAATTACACAGAACTGTTATTATGATGGAAAGTCCAATTCCAGTTTGTTCTTCATTCAGAAGGAGAACAATAATTCTAATTATTATTGTGTGGACTTTGGTTACAGCTGTTTAGAGCACAGAATAATCATTTGACTGTCAGCCATCGCCACCATGGGACAGACAGAGGACTGGATTGGAGCCCCTTAGTTCCCCAGCGGCACACAAAAAATGTGGTTTTGACTCAAGTCTTCCTGAAATGCACATATATAAACAACTCTATGTAACTATGGATTGCATCTGTTTGCATAATTACCAGCTGATGAGCTGGTTTTGCAATAAAGGTTATTGCCATATGTTATTATTTATGCAGTGCCAACAATATAGATGACAACTTCATGGCATTCACATGAAGAAAGCAGATCCTTGCCGCAAGGAGCTCGCATCCTTAATTTTGACAAAAGTTTAGAACGCAAGCTAAACGTGGGCCAGAACATGGCAGGGAGGGCACAGAATCAAGGCGCAAAAGTGATAGGGGATGAAAGCACATGTGGTTTTGCATGCTTGGAGTTTGTTGTGAATGAAAAAGGTAGGCGAATCAAGAGCTGGGTGGAAGAGATGGGTCTCGAGGCAGGGGTAAGTGGGGTGGCCCCATGGAGATATCCCGGATGGCACTTCCGGCTTGGACTGGAGCAAATCCGATCGGAATCCATCCCTCCAAGCATTCCTGGGCTTCTGCTTGCGCTCAGCCTGCTCCTGCAAAACAAGCTGGAAGGGAGGAAGCCCGCGGACCTACACAGAACACTGCTTGTGACGGACGGCTTCCTTCCGCATCAGTGGCAGCAGCCCTAAAGGTGGTTGCGGGTGACGCGGGGGAGGAGCACAGCTCACACAGCAGTCTTGGGGGCCTCGATTCGTGGGCACACCTGCCAGGGCCTCAGATTCCCACCCCCAGATGGATTCCGTGCACCCCTGCTTCCAGGAATAGGCAAGGGGCCACGGGGGGCATCCTTCGAACTGGCAAGAAGGGCTCCGGGTGATTCTGGCCGAACTCTGGGCAGGCTCTTGCGTTCACTGAACCACGGATGCCCTTGAACAGATGGCTAGAGGGCCGAGAGCCGTCCTGTGCGCTTCTGCCCCCTCTGGCCACAGGAGGGAATGGCAAGGAGATCGGCCATGCCCACCAAGGAAGCTGCCTGCTCCCGAAGGCCAGAGCAGGTCGGAATACTTCCCGGACCCCTGAAGGCTCCCAGTCAGGCTTGTTTCCCAGTCCAAAGTGCTTGCTGGCTGCAGACGGAGCTTCACAGGAGCTGGTCAGATAGGTCAGTGTTGGAGGCCTTCCAAATCTCTCCGCAGATTGCCCCAAGAGGCTCCTTCTCACGCCTGGTGCCGCTGGGTTTCCTTCCTTGGCTACAACTCCGTAGGAAGACACTTTGCAGAAATGAAAGGGCCTCAGGAATGATAATCCATGCAATGAATAGCTTTCACCTGAGGGATTCTGCTTCTGTGAACAAAGGAGAAAATTGAAAAATGCCAGCAGGACATTCCGGTGCTTCCCGCAGGAGCCTCTGAAGTTCTCAAATCCCCTTAACCTTGATGTCTCAGCTGCCCAATAGAACCAAAACAAAAGAACCAAGTGGCACAGGTGAGTCAGGACAGAATCGTTTCCAAATGGGTTCCTTTATAACACGTTAAGTGCTTGAAACGTGTTCCTGCCCATTTTCATCTCAGCAAGCGCGGAGCTGAACACTCAGAAGGAGCAGAGGGAAACTCAGTCTGGGAAATACCTTCTAGATCAGACTTCTGTGTGCTGGAGCTACACGGATGATTTAGACTGCAAATCTGCCGTCGTGGTCAGTGTTTGGGGATGGTGGGAGCTGTAGTCCAACACATTCAGGGCACCAGGCTTCACCCAGGAGACTACATCACACACAACAACATGAGTTCTTCAACATGAGCACAGTGGGAAGTTACTGCGCAGACTAGAGGGGCCCTGAACCTTCAGGGGGGACCAGAGGGGTCCAAAGCACCCCTGCAGGAATTTACTTGCCTCTACTTCTTCACAGCAGAGAGGGGCAAGAGGGAAAAGCGCAGAGCGGTGGGGTTGCTGTCTGGACAAGGCGGTGAGGTGGTTGAGGTAGCAGAAACCCCCCTTCCTGGCACAACAGTTTGACGGCGGAAGCGTGAGGGATGTCTCTGGTGACGGATGAGGGTTCACGCTGACCTGTTCCTGCAGATCTCCGCAGCATCCACAAGGGGGCCGGTGCTCCCGGGTCCATCTCCTTGGGCCACACATGGGGGCCTCCAGTGGGGCCGCTGGGCAAACCCAGCAATGGACCAGGAGCATTTTGGTCCCGCTCAGGCCAGTTCCTCTTATGCTCTTATCCCGAGGGGCTCCTCTTGGGTGGTGTACGATGCATCCCCTTGGAGATGCATCCCAGCGCCTTTTGCGGAAGCACAAAACATATTGGGGGGCACACTTCTGGGGTCGTGCACCATGTTCCTTGAGCCTCCCTCTCCCATGGAAAGTAGGAGGAGGGAAGGCACAGAAAAGCTGAGCTCCGATGCAGAACAGCCGGCTTTGCACGGTGGGGGCCCTTCCTGTTCACAGGTAACCCTGAAGCTCTTCTTTGCAGATTGAGTTACACGGATCAGCTTTTCCAAGCTCTTTTTAGAGCATGTGGCATTTACGATCCCCGGGGAAACAGAAAGCCCACCCACATGGGTTAATTCAAGAGACAGTAACAGGGCTGGAGTTCATACTGAGCCCCAGCCCCAGGATAAGTTGCAACTCAACGTCTTAAGAATGCAAGCATCCAATCAGGCCAGAGTTCAGGATTCCCATTAAGTCTGGGCAAAGAAATATCCTCAGGGATGCTGGCAATAAAATGTCCTCGGCAAAAGCCCTTCAGCCTCAGCACCAGCTTCAAGGTGCTCCTAAAGTTTCCCTTCTCACCTGACCGGGATCAGGTACCTGCATCTGTGGGCAGGGATGACTCCATCCCACCTTTTCACTGCTACCTGGGTGACAGGTCCACAGCTCAATAACTGGGCACACGCTCCACCCACAGACTGCTGCCCAATTCAAATACCGGGCACCTCCACCTTGCTCTTTTAGTATTTCTGAGCCTGCCTCCATGGCTCTCAATGCCGGGATGCAGCTCCCAGAGCTTCTGTGAAATCAGATTCAGCTTTTGGGCTGGCAGCATTCCAATTACCCTGTAGGTGGATGAGTGTTTGTGCTTTAACTGGCTACCTGACACCCCAAACGTACTGTACTGTTCTCATTCTTCCTGCCCTCCATGCCAAGGTTTGGGGAAGACCATCAGACAAGGGAAAGTTGAAGGCAGAGGAAGGCCAGATATGAGATGGATGGACTCCACTGGGGAAGCCGCAGCCATGAGCTGAAGAACTGAATAGGGCTGTCTTGGATAGGGCACTTGGAGGACCATCATCCACAGGGGTGCCTAAGTAGAGACAGCCTGAGGTCACATAACAACAGCTTCACATTCTATCCCTTTAGCGCCCCAGCAGGATGTAGTTTAGCAGCTGGTACCCTTCCAAATTCTGCAAAGTGGGCCACCTGGTCAGTTCCGGGCAACACTTTCAGACATGGTTGGAGAGGTTTGCACACCACAATCTTCCTCCAACCCAAAGCCTTCCAGACGTATTTTTGCTGCCAAAGGAAAATTAGCAAGTTTTTGTAAACACAGTCAATTACTTTCTATCCCTTTCAACTTTCTGATGTTACCTCTGCTGCCAGTATCAGTGAAGTAGTTCAGAAAGTGTCAAGTTTATGGACAGAGCCATGTGAGTGTAGGAAAGATTTCTGGAACATTCTAAGATTGGAGTCAGTGCAGCAAAGGGCCACTAGGATGGTGGCTGGTTTGCAGGGTAAGCCAGATGAGGAGAGGCTGAGGGAGCCGGGTCTTTTCAGCCTTGAGAGGAGGAGACTCTGAGGGGATCTGTTGGTGACATATAAGTAGATGAGGGGTGTCACACAGAGGTGGGTTGTGACCTGTTTTCCCCTGGGGAGGGCAGGACATGTTCCAATGGAGCAAAGTTCAGGAAAACAAGATTTAGGGTGGGTGCCAGAAAGCACTTCCTGACAGTTAGGACCCCGAGGGTATGGAATGGGCTTCCACAGGAGGTGGTTGAAGCACCATTGGTGAGGGTGTTCAAGGACATGCACATGGTAGACATGTCATGAGTGGAGCCGGCCGAAGCTGGAGGTCAGACTAGATGGCCCGGGAGACCCCTTCTGACTCGTTCTGTTTCTAGGTTCTGTTTCCAAGACAGAAGTTCCAAGTTTTGCTTTCACACTTTGTGTCTCTGCATTCCACTTTCCTACCACCAGGCGGAGCTCATACACCACCTTTGACTGAGGGAGCAAGATTTCTCCTCTTGCCGGGAATGCTGGTCCACCCGCACCTTGAACACTGCTTTGGGAGAGGCATATCAACCACGTGGCAATTCTGAGTCCATTTCCCCAGAATTAATCCTACCAAGCAGAAATTGCAGACTGCAAACTAACGTTGCTTCTTGAACTCTATGACTGCACAGTGAAGGTGAAGATATTTTTGATTTGAGTTGATTTGGAGGGCCAAAGAAATGGATCCCGGCCAGATGGCAAGGTGAGGCTCAGCCTGTGAAGCTCTCCTATTGCAGACTGAAATCAGTTTGGAGGCAGAACAAAGCAATCACTGCTTTGCAATGAAACCAGAACACCATAGCTAAATGCCGTGAAGTAACTGCATTCTCTCTGAAGCTACCACCTGG